GACGACGCACGCGCTGCGAGCCTTTTGGAGAGTTTTCCCTCGTGTACTTGGCTGGGCTTTACACTACAAGGTCGGTGCCCAGCACGTGCTCTCACACTGCTCTGCGGCAGAATCCGCGTTTCTCTGAAAAAAGGTGACGTAAACAAAAAATTCCGCCGTATCTGCAGATTGTGCAGGAGAGATCCGGAGTTGCACACTCTTGTTTATCTATTCTTGTTATCGGCTATAGTGATAACTTTAAAATACATGTAGCAATAATATCAAAGGTCCTATTTTTTACTCTCTTCGCGTTTTGATTTTTATAGTGATACATGTACATAACAGAATTTTTTTATGGAAATGCGGGCACTGTCAACTATGCAGCATGCTCATTTGTCAAAACGCCATGCTAGAAGTATTTCCTTGCCTTTTATGTTTCGATCGAAAAAAGAAAGAAAAAATCGATCGTATCGCATATAGTGATGCATCGGTTATAGTGATAAAATCACGGAAATCAAAAGGGTACGCTATAGCCGATACAGACTGTACTGTGCTCGGTTGTGATGATTTGTATACAGGTCACTGAGGTGTACTACCCATGCACGTACATGTATAGCAATTCATGAACAGTGCAAGAAAGTGTGCTCCTTGCTTTTCACGCTTTGCTCAGGGCCTCGGTGTGGTAATATCTGGAGTTCTATCAACTGTCAACAGGTTAGTGCACACCACTTTGAAGTCTTTCCCGCACTGCGTACCACTTGACTGAGCACCAGCTACGAAGTGTTTGTTTATTTTTTATTGAAATGCACCACCCTACGAAAGACAGTAACAAACAATCAGTAGGTGGGCACTGTCCAGCTCTGCCGATGCCGGGGTAGGCCATCTTGGGTGACGGAAGACCGTCTTGTCTTGGTGCTTGGTAGTACAGTCATGTAGCGTAAAACCTGTCGAGGTGACCACTCTGGTAAGGCTGCAGCCACCACCTATTCCAGAGGACCACTGCAACTAGGACCAAATGATGAGACCGCCTGTACACAGGAATCACGTTTGTACGGTTCCTTGACTGGTCGGCTTAGACAGGTTTCACTGGACTGTGAGTTGATACCAAATATTGTGTCGCAAAACGCTGCGCCTGTGACAGACTTGCACTCAGCAAATGACTATCGGTGGTCTCTCCATGGCAGCTGCACTGGACAGAATTACCTAGCTGTTGCCGGAGACTGGCACACATGTGTCATCAGCCTAACTGCCAGAGTAGTGTGACTTGTGGACATTCTTCACAATCGATGCCGTTATTTTGTTGCCCCTGCACTCGCTTACATGTAATTGATTCTGAGCAGTATTGGATATGTGCATTGCATACTGGTATCGTGCACAAGTTTGCAGCCAGCCTTCTGACACCACATCACCGCTCTCCACAGCAAGCGGAATAAATGCGTGGCACCCTGCTTGAGAGTGCTGTATTTTGTGTCAGTGAGATGCTAGTATAGTCTGCACCGATCTGACTCATACATACAGTTATGAAATGAAAACTGAAGTCCCATGTTGTGTAGATATCTGTTGCATGGTGGACACTTGCTGGCGCAGTGGCAATCGTACTGACTGCTTCATCCCGCGTATGTGAGTTCGCACCCACGCACCCACACTGTATCTTGCATATGTGTGCTTGCGTGTGTTTAGGAAGCATGCAGCTGAGATGTCAGCGTCACCTGGGTGGCTGGGATCAATCAGTTCCTGGGTAAGCATGCCTTGCAGAGTCTGTGCATGACTTATTTGGAGTCTATGCATGACTTATTTAGAGTCTATGCATGAATTATTTAGTGTCTATGCATGAATTATTTAGTGTCTATGCATGAATTATGACTTATAGAGTCTATGCATGACTTTTTGGAGTCTATGCATGATTTGTTGTTGGAGTCTATGCATGACTTGTGCGGAGTCTATGCATGACTTGTGTTGAGCTTAGCTCTGGTGAAGGTCTCCAGAGTCTAGTTTGTACTTGAACACACTGCAACACAACAACAAACAAATCCAGCCTTCTTCTCACCTTGCAATGCTGGTGCTACTTGACGGCATGGGAGCCAAGTGTCTCTTGTCGATACCATCCTCCCTGAAAGTCCAAGTGCCTTGCTGCGAACAGTGCAAGGTACATGTATGACAGCTCTTGTGCACACTCGTTTTCATACCGCGTGCGGTGGCATGCTATTGACCTTGAGTCTCACAATCGTGCGTGCTGTTTGTGTGTGTGTGTGTGTGTGTGTGTGTGTGTGTGTGCTTTGGATGCATGCAGGTTGGTGGTATGTTTGTGGCAGGCGATGAAGTAAAGGAGCATCCAAGGTTAGCCGGACAGTAGACGTGTCTTATTTTGAACACACGCATAGACAGCACGATAGCTTTTTACTTCAATATGAATTTAGCCACTGCTTTCAAAAGGTAGCTCCAACTAATGTGGAGGTGAAAAGGTGTTACAGGAGACGTACTGTTCATTCTGCTCCAACTTGTTTTCTGGCATGCGCAAACCGCAGAAATTATATTTGATTGGCGGATACGTGCGCCTTGCTGTACTTATGGCTGCTTGGAGTTTGAAAATTGCACTTTTCCAAACTTTGAGGCCAGCAAGTACAACATGCAAGCATCCCCCACCCCCGTACAAATTTCATTTCTGTGGTCTACCCCGGGCAATGAACAACTTAGAACAAATCAACAGTGCAGCCCTCCCTCTAGGAAAGGTTTTCCCTCTGAAGAGTTTGGGTTACCTTTTAAAAAACGTTTAATGAACCAGGTGGCACTGGCTAATGCTAGGTTATCTTTTAAAGCAAGTGTTTATGTTCTAAAATTCTCCCTCCTCTCCGTCCTTGCTGGTTTTATGACATGATGTGTGTACCGTGTCACATTCTTGCCATGCAGCATGCTGGCTTCTGGTTTGGGTTGCCGGTCTCTGGCAGGGTGTTAGATGCTGCCATGCAACCATCCTAGCACCATGTGTTACTCTGGTGTTGCAGTACAGTACAGTATCATGTACTCATTCGTCATCCGTTCACCTGTGATTTGGATGTAGGATAGGATGTATGTGCGTGTGTCATCCGTCATCTGTGATTCGGATGTAGGATGTATGTGCTTGCGTGCTGTGTGTGATTGGGTGAACACTGTCTGGTTTTGAACTTTCCATTCTTCCTTACACCTGCAGAGAAGCCCATTCTATCATCTTGCTGTCACTGTACGAGGCTGTACACTTGAACCGAAACTTTATGACTATTTTAACACAGGTGAGTGAGAGTGTGGGTGTCCACGTGCGTGTATGTAATGCATGCACACGTATTACAGCATTGATTTGCTGCTAGGAGGGGTGATGTTGCTTCTGTAGGGAAAGTGGTGTGGGTGTGAATGTGCAATTTCTTGAATGCGTGAAAGACACTGGTTACATGAGATGTGTTTTCTGTTTGGCCGTCGCCTGGCGTGTGCTTTTTCACCTCAGCCTAGTTTGAGTTTTTCTGTCTTTAAAAAGTGTGTCTGGATTATACTCTGCATCGCTCTCTGTGTCTTAGACGCATGCACAAGTACCGGCCAGTCCTATCACGGAGAACAGTTCACCGGCCATGGCAAGGATGCTGAGTAAGTGTGACAATACTGTGTGACAATACTGTGTGACACTGCATGAACAATCACTATGTCTACTCTCCGTTGCAAGCGCACGGCTCTACATGTTCCACTACAGTGTTATTGTACTGTAGCAGTAGCAGCAGCAGCCGCGAGGCAGAGAGGATGGGTCAAGGTGGAGGAGTACAGTGTGTGAGCGACCTTGATTGGGATTATCACCTTCTTGAATCTCCCATTCTACTTCTGGATGAGATCTACTGGTGCATGTATTCATAATAGAGGGAAGGGCATGGAGTGTTGATTTGAGTAGTGCTGTTACTTGTTAGTGATGGTGGTGAGTGGTTGTGCTTCTTGTGAAAGTGGTTAGCTACGTATCCAGCAGTATGGTTAGTTCATTGCAATATGCTGTGCTTGTCTGCGGCTCATAGCCAGGGTGGGACATGCTTGTTGCCTGGTCTTGCTGTAGCAGATGTTCCTTTCAGTGTTAGTCACCTACTGACTTTGTCTGTTGCCGTTGTTTTGTTCATTGTTTGCCCTTTCTACATGATGTTAGCTGGCTCATCAAGTTCAGACGCAACAGCAAAGTCTATTGCTGAGCCTGTGAATCTACTCGGTGCCTTTCTAACCAGTGCTTCCATCTCTATGCAGGATATCAAAGGTAAGGACAGTGACAGAGCACTACTGTATCAGCATGCTATAGGCAATACTGTGTTGGTTGCAGGGGCGTAGTAGCTCACACATCTGTGGCACGGTGACCACCGGCAGTTTCATAGCCGCCATTTTGCCATGATTAATCCTTGTTCACCTTTTCACAAATTCTGTCATTGCTAGCTATGAACAATGATAATTTTAAATGCACCAAAAAGGCATTTCCATTCGAATCGGAACTTTGCCATGGAGTGCGTACAGGGTAGGTCTGCACTAGTAGTCTATACACTGCACTGCACTGCACTGAAGGAAGAGTGTGGGTACACTTCCACTGTTCCGGGACCATGCACTAGTACCCGCACTTGTATGGTATGGTGCACCTTACTCGCATCAAGAGTACAGTCAACTTCGCTTATAACGACATTCGGCGGGGCATCAAAAAAGTGTCCTTATTCGCGAAGTGTCATTATACCCGAAGTCTCATTATATGTATTACAGTTGGAAGGGACTTTGCTCGGGGCATGGACATGCTGTCGTTATTCGCGAATTGTCGTTATATCCGCAGTCGTTATTAGCCAAGTTGACTGTACATAACCCCTGGGGGTTCTGTAGGGGGTTATGTACTCTTACTCTCGTACATGCACTTTGGCGTTTTTTGGCTTGTGTGGTGACCAGACTGCGTGGACTACACACGAGTTTTGTAACTGTTTTTACAGGTGGTAACCTGATAATTCGAACCTCATAATGCCAGGCAACAACTTCTAATCATCCAAACATGAACCGACAACACAATATGTATGTCAAAATGCTCTCATGGTCACGCAGAGTTGCGCTGTGAACCTTAGACACAGATTTCACGGATATTGAACGACCAGCACAGCCTGCTCATGCAAACTGAACTGATCAGTACAATGTACAGTGAACTTCGAATTACACTTTCCTAACTTCGAATTATCAGCACAAATCCCACACATTTGTCTATGTATTATAAAGTGGAATCTGTCCACCTGTACTGGCAAGCCCCATATCACATAATTGGTGCGTGGTGCTTGCAACATATGGCTCCCATATGGTCTAGTGGTTAGGATTCGGCGCTCTCACCGCCGCGGCCCGGGTTCGATTCCCGGTGTGGGAACTTGTTTTTTCTTTCTTTTTTTCTTTTAATGCTGGATCTACATGTACTGGAGCACACACAGATGTGCACACACGCACACGTACACACACCCACACACACAGATAGACTACCCCATGCTGTGTCTGTGCAGAGCAGTGTGTTTCCACCAGGGACTTTGCTACTCCCTGGTTTCCACTGGCCAAACAGGAGACATGATAATTATGTTCTTCTACCAGCACAGTCTTTACTGAATCTATGACTCCCCCTCACGTGACCGCGGACTCCTGCATATACACTCACACAATAACCACACAACTGTTTGGGGATAGCGCGCTTATTGTATTATGCCAAACTTGACACGCTGAGTCCAGCTTGACTCAGCTGAGTCCCTAACTGCAATTTACTGCTCTAACATGAAGCCGTGCCTGGAAGAAGGGAAAGAGCGAAAAGAAAAAAAATTCTGGCCTTCTGCAAGCAATAGCAAGTAATGAGTGCCGGCTGTGTAAAGTCGCACAACCATGCAGTCGACCGGATGATGGTGAGTGTCCGGCACACATCTTGCTCTGCTGCTCCACCTGCGCATACCTGATACGGTGGTGCACTTACGGGCGGGCTGCCTGGGCCCCAGATGCCTCCCTGATGCGCCACGGGGTGCCGTCGAAGCACCTGTATCACTTCAGTGAGCCGAATGCGAATGCAGCCTTGCCGGTCGCCCGCCGGCCTGCCGCCTACGCGACCAGCCTGAGACTGGCCCTGCCGCATTTGGCGCTTCTAAACGCTGCGATCCGGTAGACAGCTCACTGGGCTGCCAAATACGTGACTGGCTTGAGGACAGTTCCATACTGCACGGCAGGGCGCCCAGCTCAGGTCACACGCCGTAGCGGCGTGAGCTGGGCGCGGTGAGGGTTGGTGATAACTACAGTTTCCTCCTTCCTCCTCCGGAAACTTCCATTATTTGTGTGTATTTGTATGTGTGCGTATGTCTGTCTGTCTGTGGTATACATGGCGGTTTTCTGTGTGTGTGTGTGTGTGTGTGTGTGTGTGTGTGTGTGTGTGTGTGTGTGCGTGCGTGCGTGCGTGCGTGCATCTGTCTGTCTGTGCATATGTGCGTGTGGTGTACTTACAGAGGGCATTTCAGGTGCACGTGCCCGACTTTGCTTGAATATTTTGACTTGTATTTGTGAGGTAAGTTGAAGCAGGGTGCAGAGTAGTGCTTTCTTGAAGATATATTTTTTTAGGGAGCGGTGCTTTGAGAGTCGTTAATGTAACTTGGGAAGCTCTACATCTCGTGCACTGTTTCCACTTGCCAGTAGTAGACATATCTAGTGTTTCCAGTGCCTTTTGCATGTGCCGCCGGCTCCTTGTCTACACCCTACACAGGAGTATGCATGCAGGGATCCCTCGTGGCATTTTTTTTACACAGCCTATTCGGTTTTGTTTCTCTACACAATTGCATAGCCTTGTGTAACACGGACGTGCGAACCTTATTCAGATATTGCGTGTGACTTTTCGTTTTCTGCACGTGCATATGTTTTTGTCGTCGTTGTTGTCGTCGTCGTTGTTGTCGCTACTGCTGCTCAGGATCAATATGCCAACGCGTTCCTGCACGATGCCAACATGGGATTCCCGGTGCAGCTCTACAAGGCGGTATGTAGTTGATGTAGTAACGTATAATTGCTTATATGTGTGCCTGCGTAGCTGTCCCCACCCCCTGAGAGGAATATAATATTATACCAACCTGTGCCGCTCCATGTCCTAAGCAACCTCTTTTCAGCTTTGCAGGTCTTTGTTTTTCTAGCCATCCATTCCTTTGAACAGTTTCGATCTGCATGTTGGCCCATTGTTGGGTGTGTGCTATGTATGCGGTGTGTGCTCTTATATCATGACAGCCTCGCCGACACCGAATGGTCAAGGAGCAAGCAGCTGTAACGTCCAAGCCACTGGCATGTGCAATACTTGGTAAGCCACCTGCCAACTGTACTACTGGTAATGGCATGACTTTGACTAGGGTTCTGGGCAGGCCGGGATGGGTAGGGGAGAGGTATGGGGAGTGAGGGAGGGGTAGGGGAGAGGTAGGGGGAGTGAGGGAGGGGAGGAGTAGGGGAGTGGGGGGGGGGGGGCAGGAGGGAGTGGGGGGGGGGCAGGAGGGAGTGGGGGGCAGGAGGGAGTGGGGGGGGGGGCACAAGGGAGTGGAAGGGGTAGGAGGGAGTGGAGGGGGTAGGAGGGAGTGGAGGGGTAGGAGGGATGGGGGGGGGGGGGTAGAAGGGTGCATTAGATATCACCGGCTTGAAATTTCTGATGAGTGACAGTGCATTTGTACACTCTTACGCTACACTCAGCTTGAAAAACAAACTTCTAAGCTCACTCTCCGAACGCAAATGGGGCAACACACCATTAGAAGCTCTGGATTTCTCCTTGCAAAAGACTTCAACCATAACTGGCATAACTCAAAAACTGCAAAAGGAAGCAAGAAAGGGCCAGAAAAGGCACAGCGCGCTTGCGCCACCACGTACACGTGACACAAAAAGTATCATAGTGTGAGCATGACTCGTACTCATAGTCATAGCTCTATCATACAGCACAGCGCAGTTGTACAAGCGCATGATCGCGGATACGAAGGGTTTTCAAATACAAAATAATTTATCGTGAGAGCAGCTCAAACAACTACACGTTCGAAGCGGAAACAGAATAGAAGAGAGACGGAGAAGCAGAGTAGAACGTGGACGATCATGCAAGCTGCTTGAGAAGTTGAGATCTACCCTCGCCTCGGGGCATCTTCGAGCACGCACAGTTGGTGGTAGAGGTCGGCTGCATCGCAGATAAGAATGTGCACAGACGGTTTGGTGCTGTGAGGTGGTGTAGATTTTTTACGAGCGTTCGACACGTGTTGCGGTGTGAGCTGGCGCGAACTCTCCATGAAATGAAGACACCAAAGGAGAGAAAATCTCACCGGCAAGGGTTTGAACATTCGCGCAAACCGTAGCCAGGAAACGTTGCTGCGTGGAAGGAAGGCGCGTAAACACTTCTGAACGATATACTCTAATTTCAGAAATTTTCGGTGCTCAATATTTTCGGTATGAGGGCAACAGGCTAGGTTAGGTGAACAGAAATTTTCGGTACAGAGAAGCAGTTCCCTATTGGATTATGTGTGTTAGTGTTTGTTCGGTGTATTGAAATTTTAGGTATGAAACAGACGCACCGAAAGTACCGAAAATAAAAGTACACCGAAATTTTGTGAAATTACAGTAATTGCAATCGAATAGGAGGCACGATAGTGCAATAGCATTGTTGAGACTTTTGTACAAACAGGATTTCTTCAGAGAATGTAACGTTTCTTGCAGGGGATGAAGGTTGAAGTGAGCTGAGAGGAAGTCACCAATGTTTGTTTTCTTCAGAAAACTAATCAGATGTCTGTCGACGCCTAGGAGGCGCTGTCGAGATTGATAGCATCTTTTTTCTGGCATGCATCGCTTTTGAAAATCATGCTCCGGTGTGTAGACGTGCTGATCGATCACGTGCGCACACGACGTGCACATGTAGTGTCCATCTATCACTGTCTCGGTCACGTGATTGCAACCATCATCACGTGCCGGAGAGCCCTTTGGCTGTCATCCCCACAAACATTTAACACAGATATGTTGGTTTTAAACTGTTTAATTATACATTTAAAAGCTCTGTATGTGATAGGACAAGGGTGATAAGGCTCTCTGCTCGCAACACCCCGTAGTAGGCGGCAACCTTCTCCAAATAGTGTCTTAGATGGCTGGTTGTTGAGATGTGCTCCTTCATGTTGGCAAGATTCCGCCATTCGTTGTCGCTGCATGGGGGAAACAGATAAAAGCAAGATGTATAAGATCTCCTGTATTTCAAATAAAGATAAGTGCATAACAGATCACTTACCAGCTACACTTGAATAAAGGCTGACGACCGGCCTCCAGATTTTGCCGATGTCCCTTGGACATCACGTGGGCCACGAACGGCCAGAGGCCGGTCGTGGTCTTCATACAAACGGAACAACTGAAGAGCATGATGTACGCCGGTTCTGGCGATAGTTGAATGGGACTGATCAAGGCGGATCCAATCGCTTTTATCCCCATCCAGTTGTTTGATGTTCGTTGGTTGAAGGGTGCGGTGCGCGCACAGTTCAACATTAAAACTCTGCGCGATGATCATGGAGTCCGCCGCTCAGGATGTGAAGCGGGTAAATTGGGCGGTAGCGTGAATGCTACATGGTGAACATCTCTTTGAAACGTGTAGGATTCACACGGAGAAGCAGAGTAGAACGTGATTGGACAGAAGGAGAGAATTATCAGTGTCAGTAGAACAATAGCATGGACACTCGAAATAACAGAATAGACGACATGGCTGTAGACTGGAGTATCTCCACGTGCGTGTTTGCACCAACGTGACTCAGAGGAAAATAAAATAAACTAACAAGGTAAGATCAAATGAGAATCATTCCAGAGGCTGTCTTGAAACATGTGCAAACAGGCGAGTGGCGACAACATTCTCCCACCTGCTAACTGATGCAGTTACCCAACACATGACTTATCCACGGACATCAAGCACACAGATCCGCGACACTGGGCGACGGAATGTTCCCATCGCTGTGCGGACGTCCACAATGCGGATCTTGCCGTCCTTGCCAGGGTACACACTATCCACTATGCCCTTCGGCCAGGAGCTTCGGGCCAACTGTGGGTCTGCAATGACGACAACGTCGTTAATCTTGATCGGCTCTGCCGCCTTGAACCACTTTGTCCGGCGCGTTAGCGTGGGGAGATGTTCTCGAACCCAACGCTGCCAGAACATATCAATCATGGCCTGGGAAATTTGCCACTGCTTCCTCTGGCACTTTTCGTCAAACTTTCCTGGCGCAACAGCTCGGTGGTTGCCGCCGAGTAGGAAGTGACTTGGCATCAGACTCTCGGCATCAGCGTGATCGACAGAAACGTACGTCAGTGGCCGGCCATTCACGATGCCCTCTGCTTCGGCCATGACGGTGGTCAGCACCTCGTCACGTGGCGTCCGTTCCTTGAGAGTAGCCTTCAGGGCGATCTTCACTGAGCGCACTAAGCGCTCCCAAGCGCCACCCATGTGGGGCAGGGCAAGAGGGAAAATAAATAAATAAACAAACAAGGTAAGGTCGAATGAGAATCATTCAAGAGGCTTTCTTGAAACATGTGCAAATAGGCGAGTGGTGACAACAGCATGATAATAGTCTCAAGGTGGTAGCCAAGAAATTTGCCAAAAAGTGATTGACCGCAGGATCCGACTAATGTGTATGTGTATGTAGAGTGCAGGCTGTTTGGTGTCAAGTTGCTGTCCGGAATTGGTACTGTCCCAAATCTGTAGAGTGCACTGTGTTGTGACACTAACTATGACTTTCCTTGTAGATCTGTAAGCGCACTAAGCGGACGAGCTTTTTAAAAGGTATGCGGGCAGACTCGCCTTCTTTAGTGGCCTTCTTTCAATGCGTCATTTTGGTTGGTTTTCATGTTTGTGTTGTGTGAACTGCAGAGTTAGTCACTGAGCTGATGCTGACACACATGTGCCCCAAGATTCAGATAGAGCTCTACTCCAAGTGTCTGGGCATCATCCATCGCCTGCTCTGCTACCAGAAGCGGTGTAGAATACGACTGGCGTACGACTGGAAGGGGCTCTGGAATGGTAAGGGGAGTCGGTCACCGGGTGTACATGAGTCACCAGGTGTACATGAGTCACCGGGTGTACTTGCAGGGGCGTCGGAAGGAGTTTAACATTGGTGCGGGGGTCCTCCCCTGGGACATTTTTTGAAAATTGGGCCTAAAAGGCCATATTTTAACGCTACAGAATAATATGAGAAATAAGAATATGCATGCTGATGATACACCGCATTGTCGATGTAAAACATGGTACATGTACCTGTACAAGAGTCGACAAGCCACCATGTGCCAACAAGGTTGAAATGTGAAAAATAAAAATAAAATAAAAACTGCAGTGAAATTTACAAGTGTGAATTTTAACAATCAAAGCGAGAAATGAACAAAGGAGAAAGGAAGGAAAGACAACGTGATAACACATAACAGCAGTACATTACACCTAGAACATTAACGGCCAAGCTTGGCCGCACTAAACACGACACGTTACTTGAACAATTTCAACCCAATTATACTATCTTTCTGTACACACAAATTAGGCTTATACAGAAAGATAGTATAATTGGGTTGAAATTGTTCAAGTAACGTGTCCTGTTTAGTGCGGCCAAGCTTGGCCGTTAATGTTCTAGGTGTAATGTACAGCTGTTATGTGTTATCACGTTGTCTTTCCTTCCTTTCTCCTTTGTTCATTTCTCGCTTTGATTGTTAAAATTCACACTTGTAAATTTCACTGCTGTTGCTCTTAGTGTTATTTCTCTAACTAACTTAGATTTTCTAAAATAAAAACTTTGAAAATTATTGGTGCGGCTTTGGCCGCACCTGCCGCACCGGTTCCGACGCCCCTGGCATGGCATACAACATGACTGCCACGCATGCTGACCTATGCTGGGCTTGACTGTGGCTGCTGATGTGCTTCAGCAGCTTTGCTGTATGCACTATAGACTACTTGTGCTTGTCCTGTCAGTGGGTATCATAGTAGAGAGGTGTATGCCCTGCATCTTCTGTTGGCGCATTGTCCGATGCCGATATGTAACTGGATATCCTAAAATACTCAATCTGCGTACAGCATGCTATTTCGTTCTTTGTGAACTCATCAGCGCAGCACAGAGAAAAAGAGGCCGACCCTGATAGCAATGGAAAATAAATTTTCCCAAGCAGATTTAAACCAGGCCCGTATGTATGGCGTTACTTGTGCTAGCCTAGGTAATAATCTTATAGCTTTTTGACAGTTTCAAGCTGTACTGTAGCATCTTCATTGGGATGAAGCTCACGTTCTCATAATCTGTCTGTCCTCTTGCTGGTGTGTTGGAATGCTGCCTTTCTACTTTCTAGCTCTAATGTCAGTGGGTAACTTCCTCTCTCAGAATGACAAGACTCTGCTGCAGCGCGGCAACGTCTTGGATCTTGCAACTCAGGTCAGCTGTGTTACCTCGGCGCTGTGCTCTCTCTCTCTTTCTCTCTCTCTCTCTCTCCTCTCTCTCTCTCTTTCTCTCTCTCTCTCTCTCTCTCTCTCTCTCTCTCTC